GATGCCCCTCTTATGGATTTCTTCAATCAGGTCTTCTCGGAGATTACTGTCCGTCTTTCTCTTGGTGTCCAGTAACAGCAGCACCGTTTGCCGATCTTGTTTTGCATGTTGTTCATTAGACAGCAGAAAAAGGTCCAGCACTTGTTTCGACAGCTCTTTGGTGTCTAGATCTGAATCGATCACTCTGGCACATCTGAGATCTTTCCGGAAATCCCAAAGCACCTGCATGGCGAGAGTTGAGCCTCCGCTGCCAGGCTGGTATTGTAAAGAAACATCGGTGATCAGACAGCTTTTTCTATTTTTCCTCTTAATTAACTGTGTTAAATCATTAAAGCCATCTCTCTTGACTAAAGGTGAGTTTTCATCCTCTGCTAAATTCAGCCACTTTGGTGGGGCTCCTTTAAGAAAGTCAGCCTCATGCTTCCTTGCTTCTTCAGGGTTAATGTCTTCAGTCTCAAACTTATCAGACCACACAACATCGAGGCATGATAGTGAGTCTCTAAGATTAACTGGAATTGCGATGGTTCTACTTCTGAATGAAGGTATGGTATTCATGATCTTTCCTGTGTTGATTTAGTCAATTCACTTAAAATATATATTATTGTTTTTTTTATTAAGATGTAGATGTTTGTTTGAGGAGCCTCTTCAAATTGATGATAAATGATGAGGATTCCTATCCTTGCGGCAATGTGCAGAAATAAACTGAGATACCTAGCAGAATGGGAGAAGTAACATTTCTCATTGCAGTTTAAATAATTGCCAATTAACAATTGAACAAATGTGTACTTGTTCATTAACCAAACTTACACTATTACATGCAAATTGAAATTTTAAATAACATGTAATTACAATAACAATTTCATTCAATTCAATAATGTATAAACTATTGAGGTTAGTTAAGCATAGAAAGCACTTATGCATTTTATCTACCACGTCAGCAGTTAAATAATAAACATGCTTTTATAAGGCAATGAACTGCTTGAATGTTCTTACCTTTTGCTGACAGTCAGTGGCTGTGACTTCATGTAATCGCATTGAAGGAAGCTAATGCATTTAAATAGCCATCGAGTGAGTCTTAAAGTCCAGCCCCGTTGAGTCATAGTTACACCTAAAATTATTCATGTGTATAAAAAATGAAAGAATCACAATGAGTAAATGGCATTGTCACGTCACATCTGATGCCATGTGCATTACCCAACAACATTTATCTGCACGTTTATTCACACAAACAGTATTAGATGCATTAGAATACGCTATATATGCTTTCCCCCTCATTTTTAACACAGCAATATTATTTATAAAATGTTACCCACTCTTATTAACCAGTTTCAATAAAACCACTTTTAACGAAACGCCAATAAACATAAGCAGGGAAATACATAACTCCTTCACTGTAAATGGGAGGATGTGGTTGGGGAGGGTTTTCCTTGAAGCACTGCTCACCAAAACGAGTTTCATCTCTCTGAAAATGAAAGTAAGAACACAGTGGTCACACACATTATATATTATATATATATATATATATATA